GGGACAATATTACAAAATCAGAACGTGAAATCAATAAATAATGCTCTCAAACTGATATACCGCTCTCTTGAATAAAGATAAGGATAAAGCTCCAAGCTCCAAGCTCCATACGGCCCCAGCCATCACAGTCCTCTGAGGTTTCCACTAAGCTGGCTGTGGGGAGCAAGGCATGTATAGTCGATCCATGGACTCAGGTGTTGATCAACCAATAGGCGAAAAGTTCACCCCATGACACACTTTGCATTTACATTTCTTACCCTGCCACATGAAGAAATGTAAATGTGAAAAGAATTCAGGAAGGAATGTAAATGTATAAATTGTATTACACTGATTCTTGAGAATTTGGATAAAACATGTCCCACTAATTCTGTTAAAAATAAATAACATTTTCATGAATAAAATAATCAGAGTTGATCATCTGAGGGTCTTTTACACAAATATAAACTTATTTCATGAGTTTAATTTTAATTTAATGAATTATATGATTATATGTCACCTCATTACCCTCAAAATCAGTTGTCCTCAGACAATAGATTGTCAGTTCAATTTGATAAAAAATTATGAAAAAATCTTTTAAAATTAATAATATACTCCCCAGATGAAAGAATAGAGTGAAACATCTCTTTAAAACTAAAAGCAGTGAATGTTCAGCAATATTTACTCTTATTTTGTGGTTTCTCAAAATCTGTCCCATGTTTTCGTCAACACCGTCAGATATATATTAAAAGCAATAAAATCAGGCAACCACATGGTCAACTATATTCCTGAGGACCCCCTCTCCTTCCCTCCAAATCTGTGACATGCAGCAAGGTCACTCAGGGTCCTGTAAGTTTGCAATTTTTTCCAATATTGTTACATATTTATTGATACTGTGACTGTCACAACCATGATATGTCAACACCGTCTCTTTTGTATAGCAAAGATTATATTAAATTATGACATGAATGCATACATTTTAAGTAAAGGTCAGAGGTAGATAGCCATAGAGGGAAAACAAGATAGCTATGGCTAAAGCTAACTGAACATTATGTGAAAGAGTAGTTTTTTGTCACCACCGTCAGTCGTCAACACCGTCAGGTTTTCTGTCTGACGGTTGGTGACATATAGTTTGACGGTGTTGACAAAAACCTCATTTAACCAATATTTACAGGTAACCAAATTGTAATAATAATTATAATAATAATAATGAATTACATTTATATATGCTTTATAGGACTGTAATTAAACATTACATTCACAGTAATTTCTCCCAATTTCATAGTAATTCCATTAAACTCTGACTTAACTTTTCTGTATTTTAGAATGCTATGGCTAGGCAGCAGCTGTCAGTGCAGTAACAAAGGAGAAGAAACAGGGAATACCAAAAAAAAACGAGAGAGAAAATATATAGTGAGGCAGAGCTGAAGGATAACTTAGGTATTTTTCAACCTGGGCCCTATTTCCCCATGTGTATGTGTGCGTATGATTCATAGGTACAACTTGTTCTAAAATTGGTTCAGTATTGAGGGAGGCGGATGCAGCCGGGAGCCGCGAAACAAGCTAAAACGGTAATGGGGGCAAATGCGTCCCGTATAAATTTGCGCATTAAAAGTGCTTTTTTTCGCCACTGACCGGTTCAGATTGCCAGTGCTATCTCTGTAAATAGCATATTAAGCCTTTCCCTTACCTCTGGGCTGTGTGATGTCATCTCGCGAGAGCTTTGCTCCACTGTGTCTGTAGCTCTCTCTACTCGTGGGACAGCTGTTTTCTAGGGGAAGAGGTGTTTCTGGATTGGATGTCTTCTCTGCTTCGGCTGGCAGTAGTCATCTTGGGAGAAGTGAGCACTGCAGACCCGATGGTCTGCAAGGCGCAGTGTCTGGACAGGAGTGTTAGCATCCATTTGTAGCACAACTAGCCACAACTTCAGCATCTCGCCGTCCGACAAAGGCAGCCTATGAAAGCTGTACGGGGTGTTGTGCGACATCCTGTTCTTGCAATTCGGATAAGCACAAACACGAACCATTGTTTTAAATCGATGCAGGAAAACTCTCAACTGTACTCAGGGACAACCAGCGCCACTCTGAGTGGTGCTCAGCATGGCTCCTCTGTTTTCTTCCGGCAACAAGCAAAGCTCTTGCGAAATGATGTCACAGTCCAGAGCAAGTGAGGGGTAAGGGAAATGCTTAGTATGCTATTTACAGAGATAGCACTGGCGATCTGAACCGGTCAGTGGCAAAAAAAGCACTTTTAATGCGCAAACTTATACGGGACGCATTTGCCCCCCGTTACCGTTTTAGCTCGTTTCGCGGCTGCCGGCTGCATCCACCTCCCTCAATACTGAACCAATTTAAGAACGAGTTGTACCTATGAATCATATGCACACATACACATGGGGAAATAGGGCCCAGGTTGAAAAATACCGAAGTTATCCTTTAAAAGAAGAATACCTGATAAAGGAAAGGCAAAGATGGAAGAAGAGAGAAGAGGATGGGAAGCTAAAAACTATTAGTGATATGACTGAAAGGGAAAGGAGGAGTAAGAGAAAGGCTTGGAGACATAAGCAGCAAGAATCAAGGGAACGTAAAAGAAAGGACCCAGATCACCCAGAAACTTCCCCAGACAGTCCAGTGGATCATGATATACAAGAGCCAGGTCAGAGTAGGCAAGCTATAGCAGGGGAAAGGGAAAGAAAGAAAACAAGAGCAAGATACTCAAGAGAGATGAAAGAACTGAGAAATAAACTTGAAGGGGTAATGAAGGATAGGAACAAACTGAAAAAGCATTGGCGACGTGAGCAAACCAGGAATAAAAAAACACAAGAGTTAAAAGAGGAATGCCTGAGAAAAGAAAAGTGAAGATGGAATAACAGAGTAGAGAAGTAGAAGCTAAAAAGTATCTGTGATTTGAAGAAAAGGGAAAAGAGGACAGCCTAGAGTCAAGAGAAAGGGCCTGGGTCAAGATGTTGATTTTTTGAAGATTTTCACACCCAGATATATTTTGATTTAGTTCCTGGTGTGTTTTCTATGTTTGTTTGTTTTTGGTTTTAACATTGCACGTCATTCACTTCATGAGTTCAACAAAGTTATTTATCTTTCTGTGCTTTACATCCATTCTGTTTACAGAATAATACACTATTTACGGGATAAAATATACCTGATGGATAGTTATTTGTTGTATTAAATATGATAATTAAAGTTGTTAAGCAATGAGCATTGACTTGAGTGGTGAAAATGTTGGTATTGTTTGTTGGAATTAAGTCACTGTCAGCACCGTCAGATTTGTGTCACCACCGTCAGATGAAACTTTATTTGTTTTAAATGATTATCCTTACAATCTTTTTCATCAGTACAGCTGAGCTATGAAAGGGACTGTCTGTTTAAAATTAGGAATGTGTTTTTTATGACCAAAATCTTTACTTTAGTATCTTTAAAGCAAAAGATAAGTTGTCCTGATGTAAGAGTTTTTAAAGCAGTACACGTGAAATGGTATAAAAAATGAACAAAAGTGAATATTCAACATTTAACACCATACATGTGTACCTATCATGTCAGACACAATGATTTAAAAGCTACAAATCCACATTAGACTAAATAAATTGGAATAATTAGCTTTTTATTGTGTCTGATGGTGTTGACAAAAACAAAGTAATGACAGGGAAAACGCCTATTGTAATGCCAAGAACTTGTTCTATCTCAAGAATCAGTGATTAAATGTCTGAAGGAATGTAAATGTACAAAGAATGTGAAGGAATGTAAGTGTATGAAGTGTAAATGTATAAAGAATGGGTGAAGGAATGTAAATGTTAAAATGTATGTAGGAATGTAAATGTATAAATTGTATTAAATGTCTGAAGGAATGTAAATGTACAAAGAATGTGTAAAGGAGTGTAAATGTATGAAGAAGTGTAAATGTATAAAGAATGAGTGAAGGAATGTAAATGTTAAAATGTATGTAGGAATGTAAATGTACAAAGAATGTGTGAGGGAATGTAAATGTAAAAGAAAAGACGCATTTTATCAGTTAATTAATGCCTATATTTATTTTGTATGCCATTTTTGGTGCAATTTAATGGCATATGAATTTATTTATTGACTCATTTATTCATTTATTTTTAATTTTGGCAGTTCCGGTCCTCCATAAGCTTGAGGAGGAAATCTTGAATGTTAGATTTTAGCTGGAAGCTTTAAAGGTTATTGTCAGGCCCAAACTGATTTCTCCAGGCATAAATGTAACTGAGGGACTGTTCGTTACTTATGAGAGAGGATAGGCGGGGGGCGATGAAAAAGAGGGAGGCGTTTCAAATATCTCTTCAAGAACTGGGGAAGGATTTTTTTTAAATTTTGGCCTAGGGGAGGGGCATACCAATTTAAATGACTGCATTTTTTATTTATTTTACTGCCAATTTTTAAGAAAAAAAATCCTTCCAAACCAGCCCAATTGCCATAATTACATTTATCACAGATAGAATGTGTAAAAAAGTAATTATTGTTGTATTTTGTTATTTCCGTTGGTCCTTGGACAAATCATGTGCGACAAACACTGATAATTCATCAAAATCACTTTATTCTAAGTTTCATTTAAAATTTGACCCCAACGATAACAGTAGAGGGTAAGAGCACCTCTGTAGTCTCCAAGTGATCGATCACCATACTTGGCTTGCAGTGAACCTGGTTGTAAAACAAAACGCAGACATTCAGTTTATGGTCAAGGAAAAATATTTGTAGTTTTAAGCATGGTAAAAACAACAACAACAAAAAAGTCACACCCTAGCCACCCTTCTCCTCTGATAGCTAAAGAACAGCCCCTAAACTGACTTTGGTCAGCTACCGTTAGTTTACTTAAGTCCTATAAAAACCAAAGAGCAAACAAGTCTGTCTATGCTGTAGTTTAAAATCCTGCTTTACTCATGAATTTATTGATACATATTTTATTCATATTTTACATTATAGCCTATATTTTACCCATTGTTTCCCTTTCCCAGCACATTGCAACCTAAGTAAATTTTGGAAGAAAAAAAACCCGAGGTCGGTCAGCTGACCTCGGGTGTGGTCATGTGACTTCTCGTTAAAATATCATGCAAAGCTCAGCTAAACCCAGTGGAGCACACTGACGCTTGGACAATGAGAGGAGACTACACGCTGTTGTTTCTTCTGGCGATAATCGTCAATACAGGTAGGTTCAAGACCGCAGTGAAGTTAGTTTTAAGTTGGATATTCGACAGACATTCACTCCGGGTAAACCTCTTCTTTGCTACGGGTACAGTGCGACTCCGAGCCAGCCACTCCAACATTTCAAGTGTATATATATAAATATTAACATTTTAGCTCAATAGCTTCCAGGAAACATGATCAATTGACTCAAAATCAGTGTGGGACCATGTTACTACACAGGCTGCATGAGATACACCTGTTTTTTCTACATTTTCAAATCATTCATAATTTTTTATATGAAAACATTAGCATTTTAGTTGAATATCTATTAGATTCATGATATAATGAATCAAAACCAGTGTTAGAACATATTGATACGTCTCTTTTTATTGCATTTAAACACTGTATCTCTGCTTTGAATAGTCCACATTTTTATTTCGAAAACAGGAAGTGGGTGCACGCTATAGCCGTCTTCTGTCTCCTTGCGTTTACTGTAAAGTCTGCAATACGGGTGCACTTGAAATGTCGGAGTGGCTGGCCCGGAGTCGGACTGGGTGGTACAGAAGAGTTTCCCCCAGAGCGAATGTCTGTCGAATATCCAGCTTAAAACTAAGTATGATAAAGTGTCTGTTTAAAGTGCATTTACAAATGTTTTCCAGTCAACTGTAGTCATAAGAAGAACAAAAATGGGCCATATGCCTTCACTCAGCGGGCTGCAAAACGAAAGTAATGGTGATTATGCTGTTAATGTTAATATCGTCTTGCGCCCATATTGCCTGTAAGTAATACTGTTATTTAACACCAAGTGAACACAGTCGGTGTCATTGAATCCTATGCAGGGCTCTCCAGTCCCCTGACGGGTAAAGAAGCCTGGAACTATGTGACGGTGAGGGACGGGGACCACATGTTCTGGTGGCTGTACTATGCTGACAGCCAGACTGCAGAGTACAAGGACCTGCCTCTGGTCATGTGGCTACAGGTAGGACATGGCCAGGTCCACTAATTACTGCTGACACACTCATTAAACTGATTTTAAAACGTCACATGCACTTTTCCAAAGCATCCTGTATTGTCTGTTTTCCCCTACCTTCATGGATGCCACAGGCTCCCACGCATTACAAAAATCAATTTGCAGACACTGATCTGTATAAGTTAGGTAATTGTTTGCAGTGAACCTTGTATGTCTGTACTCTTGTGGAAGTTACCTCACTGTTGTGTGGCAGAACAGCTAAAAAATGTTTACACGGAACAGCTGTGAAATATGTTGTGTGGCTCTTGAGGAACCTTGTAAATTTGAGATTATGACCCAGATGATATCTCTGCTTGGACATAACAAATCTATATCAAAGACTATGTAACCAAGGGGGGGCATGGAGTTTAACAGAGGTGGGTATTAACCAGGCTGGCATCTAACAAAAGATGCTTTTAATTTGCATTCTGGGAAGTGTATTTTTTGGATGCCCTAACGTTATGGTGCCAGAATAAAGCACAAAAGTATTGTAGCTGTGTATGAACTTATCTGAATGTGTGCAAACATTTTGTATGAAAACATTCAAATATGTGAAAACGTTTTGATCAAATGAATATTTAAAAAAAAAAGTATTTGAACAAATGGAGCAGCCATCTTCAATGTATTTCAAGCCAAGGACCCCTCAGTTGAAAGAGAGACAGAGCTGAGACCCACCTACATAAACTGAGCTGCACTTGAGATAATTCACTATATTTTTTGGTCTTCTCTCATTTGCGCTTGCCTGCAGCTGCTAGGTCAACAGCAGTTGTAACACACTTTGCACATTTGCCAGTGGTTTCTGAGGTGGACAGTGTGTCAGAATCTCATGCTCCAAAATGATCCATTGTGGCTCACAAGAATGTCCATACACATGGAATAATAATACAGGTATTTGACCGATATGTTTTAATTATATGTGACTGTTGGCTAACTAGTTTGCCTTGCTGTAATGGATAGGTGCCGCACAGTGGGAAAAAAATTGGTGGCGTACAGTGATTTAGCTTGCTCAAATGACTGCACAGGGATTCATTGGTCATAGTTTGCCTATCATTAATGTTGTGTACTGTAAATTAAATGTTTTTTATAGGCCAATTTATCTTTGCTAAAAATGTGTTGCGAGATCTTGCAAAACATTTGCAATATCTCGCAAAGCTTTCCTTTAAGTAATGTACTTCCAGGTCAGTTTGGCCCATAGAGACTGCAAACAAACTCAACAATGGAGCGCATTCACCCGTGGGAGAGGCTCATAGAGTTTTATTTTGAGATTGGCCTCCAATATAAAGACATTAAATCAGTGCTCGCGAGTACACACGGTTTTCATTTAAGTGAGAGACATCTGAAGCGACTACTTAACGCAAGAGGACACTTTCGTCGAAAAACATTCTGTGACTTGGCGGTCCTGATTGAATTCATTAGCAACCAAATACAGTACTCTGGACAGCTTCACGGTTACCGGTGGATGTTTGCTAAATGCAGAGAACATGGACTACGAGTGAGGAAAGAGGATGTGCGCTTGGTGTTGAAGGAGCCATGTTTACTCGTGAGCATTGATTTAATGTCTTTATATTTTACGGAAGCGCATTGCATTCACTGGATAAAAAAAAATTAGACACTTTTAGACAATTAGACAATTATGAGAAAAGATCTCGTAATTATGAGATCAGGAAAGGTGCCACATTAGCCACTGCTTCGCTAAGAAACACATACTGCACATCCACAAAGGGGGGTCGGAACTAACCAGCTGCCACT